AAGAGAAGTGAAAGTAGATAGAGAATGATTGATTTCATCGATACATGCGTAGGGCTTCTTCATTTGCTTAGATGTAGGGGAACAGTTTCTTTCTATTTTGTTTGAATCAGTTCATTCGAACTAAAAAAGCAGTAAGCACATGTTTCGTATCACAAGCGTTCGCTAAGGCATACTAGTCCGTGAAATTCTTCACAGAACAAGATGGCATCGAGAAGACTCTGCAATGACGACCATGAAAATATGTTGTTGTTTGTATACCTCTGCAGTTCTCGCTTTTTTTTCTTCTGCTCGTGCTTGTATGTTACCGATTTCAGTTTTATGTGGTAAGCAAAGCAAAGAGCTGTTATTACAATTCACTTTGTGTCAAAATATGAAATATGGTAGAGTTATTATTTGTAATATAAAAGTGAGAAGTTCCAAGGTCTCGTACACTGTGTGTGCAAGATTTCTACGATGTCTATCATAACTAGTGACAAACTTCTCAGGATTTCTGTTGCAATCAATGATGGGTTCCAAAGCTAGCTGTGGACATGAGTATGGGTCAGTATGGGAGAAGAAAAGAACCACATATGGACAACATACTGATACCCACACTCATTGACAGATTTTTAGGGAGTGGGGTGGGGGGGAACAAAAGAAAAAGAAAAAGAGTTGAAACAATAAATATTTGAGATGATTATTTTTTAAATTGATGAATCAATATAATTTTAATGAGATAGCTCGAATTTAATTATAGTCTTTTTAAAATTTGAATGTAAACAAAGTGCGCCTTATAAAGATTGTTTACGGCAGTAAATCCTGTATACGGATTTTCGTACAGTCAAAATATAGATATAGTCGTCGGTGATATGAATGCATTTACAGAGACCGATTATTCCGAACAGTATTTTAGTGATATTGTTACCGAAAAGCGTGAACAAACTAGGCTAGAATTGCCTCGATTTCAAGTCATCAAACTATTGACAATTCATTAGGCTTTTTAGGATACTTTTCGACATATCGATATAGAGCTCGAATCGATTATATCTTTCTATGTCCATTGTCCAATGATGAGTGAATACTGACAGAATGCTTTATTGTGAATATTCTTCAAGCGACTAATCATCATGTCGTTGTGACTACGTTCCAAGATAAATCAAAATTCGAAAAATCAATACTGTAGTGATAGATCATTATAATGGCATTTTTTGGCTGATCGATTTAGGATAACGGTATATTCAAGTTCTCAAGTGAAAAGTAAATATAAACAATTCAGAAAACATATTCAAATAGAGAGCAAACAAAGAAACATCATCATCAAATTTCAGTTCTCATATTCAATAGGAAAACTATTTGATCATTGTTGTACAATTTTTGTTTTGCGACTTGATCGTGCTAAAAACAAAAAGTTGATCTCTAGGCATTTTCGAATTGATGATAATATTGAATGTAACTAAGTAGTAATGAAAAGAATTACAAGCTAAAAATGACATTTGACTTGCCAATGACGATAAATAAATGTTTGCGATTCGACTATTTTCGTTATTTATATTTCATTCAAAATATCGACTAGTGGTGTTTATAATTTATCAATCGAAGTGTCGAAAACAAAGTTTGAATTTTAATATTTGAATCTCATTTGTTTTGTCATAGCAATATGATAATCTTTTATCGACTATTATAAAAATAGCTATTTAGTCTAAAACACATTTCACAAGCGAGTCTTTGTTTGAATAGTTTTTTTTTGTCTGTAGAGACCCGAGATTAAAACCAAATCGAATAGAATCTGAATGAAGATTTTTTTATTTGTTTCGATTTCTGATAGAAACTTATGAAAAACAAATATGAATATACACTTTGAGAAGTCATGATATAATATGTCGATATCAGAAAAAAAAACAATAAATGAAAATGAACTATCGAGCAAGCAGATAGTTTCGTCATCTTGTAGATGGATGTCTGCGAATATGACTATAGTGTTGATGATAAGAAAACCTCACGCACATCCTCTACTAATGATATGCGTAGATGAGACTATATAAGTATTATCTGACACCTTGGTCTCTCTTTTTCATCTTTTGTTGTTTAAAAAAGAAATTGAAAAAATAGTTGTGACAAAAATATACACTCATTTGCGAAAAAGAAGTTTTTTCTGCGTTTCAACAGAAATATCATTTTTTGTATTCACTCAGTTATCGATTCTTTTCTCGCACTGGCTCCTATTCTCAAAACGTTTCAGGAGGGTTGAAAACGAGAACAGATTATAAACAATACCATAGACCAAACGATGAAACTAAGAATAGCAAAGAAAAAATAGTCACACACTCATTCTCAGCGAGCCATTATTTGTTGTTTTGAAAGTTATTCATGCATTCTGCTGTTCATGCACATTACAATCGCTAGCAGAGAAAGATGCGTGCTTCATGTCACTGGCGACTTTAGCATGCATGAACGATAGAATTCAAAAGTGCCTTACAATGAATAAGTGAATGTGCCATCATTATTTTTACCATCTCTACTATTTTTTTATTTGAGTATTATTTGTGTTGATAACTTCAATATCAATGCGCATTCTTCGATGAATCTGTAGAACTCGTTGATGATCAAAGAAAAGAGATAAAAGTTCTATTTCAAATATAGATTACGAAACTTACATTGTTCAAAGCTTCATTTCTTTGATATTATTGTGAGAATAGAAGCAAGGAACTATTATATGTCAAAAATGGAATGAATATATTATTTTAAATCGTTAAAATATGAAATAACAAATAAATGTAATTAAAAATTGCTGATGGATAGTAAAAATTTGTCTTAATTTACTACAAATAGCGGAATTTTGTCGTTATTAATATTATAATTGGCGATTGGTAATGGAATAAAATTGCATCAGTTCTCAACGAATAACGTTCCAAGACATGACTAGTAATATTCATTTTTTTGCAAGTTTCATTCTTTTAAAGACGGATCTTCGGATGAGAGAAGTATTAGTTATGCATTTATTACTTATTCAGGCCGTTTCTTTAACAATCATGTCTTTTGATTGTATATTTAAAAAAAAAGCTTAATTGTATGCTCGAGCAGCAGGATGCTAATGTCAAGACTTTTTCATCTTCCTCGACACCATTGTGTCAACCTTCTTCCTTGTTTCTATTTCTATCTTACGTTCTTCATAGAAGGATAAAACTAGAAGCAATGAAAATCGACGCATAGTCATTTTTACGAATGAATTTCACAAGCAACAACAATACATACAATGTCATTCTTTTCTTATCTATATCTTTTGCTTCTATTGCTTTGATTATTGCCAGTAGTATATTTATATTGATTTTACTCAACAAACGGTTACATACTGTAACACATTTGTTAATATGTAATACGTGTGTTTCATCAATACTATTTTGTATCGTTTCGAGCACAAACTACATCTTTCTCATTTTTATTCCATGGGAAACAAGTGATGTTTCGTGTCGTTGACGAGGCTATTTCAGTTACATGTCTATATCCAGCGTTGTATTCCTACGCCATTCAAGCATTATCACGTTTTTTCTTTGCTGTACTTTCGAGAAAGTATCGATCAATTACTTCATTCAAAACGCATTTTTTTCTAATAGCTATTCAATGGTTGATTGTTGTGCTCCTACCATTACCGACTATCATCACACAAGATATTCACTATATATCGTTTGCTCTTTGTTGGGTGCCCTTGACGCACGCACTTCATGATGCTTACACACTAATCGCATATTATATAGTGCCCACACTATTCATCGTAGGTATGTACAGTTATATCTATTGTCGAACCAAACAAAGTTCAAATATCGCACTGTCAAATGTGGCTACGAGAAATCATAAACGTGATCTGGAAGTTTTACGTAATATTATGATCTTACTAGGAATCTATGTAGTTGGTGGAACGCCAACATTACTTTTTTTTGTTACACTAATTCAAGTTTTTTATCAGATAGGAATTGTCTTTATGTCATTAGTAGTTGCTATTGAAAAAGTTGTTACTATTCTTCTTGATCGTGAAATTCGAACTATTATCAAGCGTTTTCTAGAACGATCAATCATAAAAGTTGTATCAATCGATCACAATACTGTTACCTGAAGAAATCTCAATGCCATTCATCCCAAATAATCTATACGAATTGAACTGACGAACTTTTGCATTGATTTTATGTTTAAATAGATTGATGGGCCAAGAACGACGCACTCATAATGATGACAAACTAAATACATGATATGACATTGAACGAATCAATTTTATTCTTTATATAAACATAAAGATTAAAATTAATTAGTACTTATTTCTTATACCATACTCATTGTCTTTTTATTCATCTTGTTCAATTCTTAATGTCTTTGTAAATCGCATTTTTTGTGTATAGTTATTGTTCCCACAAAAGAAATCTTAACTCACACCCTCACTCACTCCACCCAATTGTGCACAAAAGACTTTGAAAAATCCATTTCATTTTCAACTTGAAAGCATTACACAACAATTTTAAAGATTTTTTGCTGTTTCATCGTCATTTGAAAATATCAACCTAGGCAAACGTAGACTCTTAGCTCTTCTTAT